AACGGTCAAATGGATTTTAACGAAATTTTATATTTGAGTTTCATATCCTCTCATGAAGGTCTGGTAAAATTTTGAAGAAAATTGGAATGTGAATAAACATGGTTACCGCTTGTGGGTTTTTGATTTTCTCGCTGTTTTTACATATCTTGAACGAACCCCAAAGGAAATTAAACTTCTCAGATAGATGAAGCTATTTTCTTAAAAAAATCCACGATTAAAATTCCATTAGAGCAAGGCGTTGATTTAACATTTCCCCCAAGAAATCCACCGTGACCTGATGGCCCCCGTGGAGAATTCCAGGTCCGAAAGGGGCAAGAGCGAGCTCCTGACGGCATAGCGTACCGAGCAACGAAAAAAAGAGAGTACCAACACATCCACGGACGTCGAAGCAATAAAATTCTCATTTACTCGGCCACGCTCGCCATCGCAGTCACGTTCTCCTTTCCGTTCCCATCCTAGCAATCCGCAAGGGTTTAAACCACGGCGCAGAAGCCCGTCGACGCCTCGGCATTCCGCGGAGCACAATTTACGAACAACGCTTCGCCAAACACCCCTACGCCACCACCCCTTCGTTCGTGCAAGTTGCTGCGTTTCGTTGCGACGAGGTCGCGTTTGCACCGGCTCCCTCGGTGTATATGCGGGGTAGTTTGTCACAGTCAACTGCTCGCTAAGTATGCGCGACCATTTGTCTCCGATCTTCTATTCTGCCGCGGTCGTCATTCTGCGCTCGCCACAAACGGAATTAAATGTTTCTGTCTTCCGACCCCCCTTCAGTTTCCCAGCGGCCAGCTTTTAATTCCGCGATCCTCCACGGCCACAGCCCATCGACGAACGGTCAGCAAAACGCGTCTTAAAGGCGCCACGGACGATTTATAGCAATCGCGGGACCATTAATTCTTAACGTTCGAGGGGAACATCCCTTGTGCTTCTCGACAATTTTTGAATGGCTTCGAAAGTTTGATCACTGTTTTCCAAAGTCTCTCAACCACCAAACACTCTCCACTCGACGATATTTTTATGGGAAACTTACAAAATATACAAGTATGAATGAAATTTTTCGATTCGAGACGCGAGGTAACCCCTTCTCGAGATAATCCCACGCGTTCGGAACAAAGAAATCGCCGTCGACTTTTCCCCAGCTTCTGAGAACTCGTTGCACTCTCAATGTCCTCGCGACAAATTTTTATTAGGAGAATTTATCCCACGGAAGGCGCGCTGCTGCCTTTCGTTATCTTTCATTCGCGACTTCTCTCGCGTGCGCGCGTAAAGCAAATGGATGCCCGACGTCCCGAGTAAAAGCTCGGATCTCGAAACTCGCCCGGCTTTTAAGAAATTAAATCTCCGAGAGCCGTCCGTCGCAAGTTATTGTTCTCCCTCGTACGGACGCGTTCGTTTCGCTCGATCCGGAATATTCCGTCGTCCGGATCACGCGTTCTCTTTATTAATATTTATCATCGTGCTCCGTTAATTGCGTTCGATGAGGAAGAGAATGAAAAAGGAAGAAACGATGACGCGGTCGTCGAGCTTTCACTGTGTTTCGCAGGGTTCGTCGACCCCTTCTTAATTAGGCTGGTTCGTCCGTCCGTGGCTCATCCCTGTCTTGGTCTTGTTCTCGTCGCATCGGCGCCTTAACGAACGTTGCGTGTTCTTTTTCAAACAGCCGCTACGTGACCGCCTTTGTTGGCCGGGGCGACGTTTTCACATGCGAACGAGCGTAAAACGTGCTCCACGGTTTCGGTCTGTCGACCCAATTTGGACGACGCGAGTGGATGCAGACCGAACCAGTCGCTGAAAAAGGAGAACCTTTCGACACGACGCTCCGTGCACGAGTATCGAGACTCAGATTTCCGTACAACGTTATAATACACCTCCAAAATTTGAACAATCGCTTATCGAACGCGACAGAATTTCAACATAAAATCTAACAAATTCGTTCATTTTCATTTAAAAGCTCCGATTAATAATCTAATTGGTGTATAATTACAATCGCCTATTGAATACGACAGAATTTCAGCATATTCGTTGTTCAAATAAAATGTAACAAATTCGTTTGTTTTACTCTGGTAATTAATTAGTATATAAATTCTGATAAATTCTGTTAAGAACGTGTCAAGGAGAAAGGACGGAGGAGGGTCGCGATTTAACACATTGACTTCCACACGTCGCCCATATATGGTTGACATGAATTAAAAAAAAAATAAAGAAAATAAATCTTGATAGATTAAGATTGATCTTAAAAATATTGTGGATATGCTACTTTCCAATTGTCCAAAAAAAGAGTATCGTTTTCGTAGAGAATTTGGGGAGCCTGGCTGTCAACGCGTTGAAGAGGAACGAGACAACCCTTAAGAGACGAAAGATAACCAGGTTGCAGGTTGTTCACGGGTTGTAAATTCGTCTGGTTCGGGATTATTGGGTCGCACGATGACTCGCAAACGCGGGCAAACAATCCCTTGGCAGAGCGTGCTCGCGGTCGAATTTGCTCCCGCATTAACGAGCAGAACACCGCTCTTTACGATCGCCTTAACCAGAAAGGGGACGCTCGTCACGGAGGGCACGCGAGCTCGCCATTAAAATTCGATCAGATAATCTTATTTGCCCCGCGATTAGGCGTTTCACCCTCCGCCCCCCTCCGACTGGCTCCCGTTTTTGATGTGGAACGACGAGAAACGGGGACGTAAATTCCGGGGTAATCGACGAACAACCGAAAGGGAAACACCGGTGTCCTCGAAAGAGAAGAATTCGAGCTAAAAAACTACCCCAACTTTCAACCTTAAAACAGTTCCACCGGCACACCTTTAAAACAGTTGCCTTCTGTTTCTAAATAAAAGGATCACAAACAACTTCGAAAGAAACACCCCCGCAATATACACTTACTTCAACCCTGCTTTCAAATTAAATATTATTTTGAAGTAGGTACACGGCTCTCCGGAAGTCCAATAAGAGGTCTTTTTTTTTAAATGCTTCCGACGAGAATCCTCCCTTAATTCGAAAGAGGGCGGAGATTCCGGCTGACACGGGATCTGGGTCAATGGGTGGCTGGAACTGCTATCTCGGAGTTTAAAGGGTTACGATAGCGTCGTTTTCGGCCCCTCGTAGCGAACCTCGCGTGAAAATAAAATCTCGAGAGTCCCCGGCGCTGGCCGCGGAATGGTAATCCGGTCGCGGCACGAATTGCAACCGGTGCAATTGAAAGAAGCGTCGACACACCCCACGGTTGGTAAAAGAAATTGTAATTCCCCACGGTACAAAAGCTTGCCCGGTAAAAAGTTCCCCCTCCGATGACCGTACCCGCGCACTCGCGGAGACATAAATTACGCCGAGCTACGAACAGTTTCATAAAACGCTGGATATCAGGATTTATTAAAGGTTCGAACTTGTTTTCGCGCCTCCGGGAGCGTTCGTCTCGATCGACGCGGACTTACAAGTATTCCTACACTCTCTCTCTTTCTTTCACCAACGATTTATTACTCTTCCAGGAATCTATCGTTTCCTTTTACGAGAGATTGAGGTTCCGACCCTTGGCGTTCCAAGTGATAAAACGCGAAACTAAAAATATTCATGGCCCCGTAGTGGTATAACCGTAAGATCCACCATAAGATCCGACCTCTATAGTTTCGTCGAACAAGGTTTGTAGAGCGACGCGAATAGTTGGGACGAAGTTTCCAAGTTGAATGAGCCACGGAATAAAGGGTGGTACGAAGAAGAGGCTTGTTTTCTCGTGGACCTATTACTGGTGCCGTCGAAAAGGAACAGAACTTCGGACGCGTGGATATTCGATCAGGAAATTCTAACGGGAGATCCTGTCGATGGATATTGACAATACACCCGTGGAGAATCCAGGCGAACATTCATCAACGTCGCGAAGCATACAATTTTTAAAAATTTCATCGTTCAAGAATCAGGAATCAGGAATCAGGAATCAGGTTCGAAATTTATGATTAAATCTATTTTCTATTCTGTTCTCTACCTCAAAGTATCCTGGACATGAAACATCTTAAACAATATTGAAATATCGAATGACTGTTATAAAATTGTGCAAAGTATCGGTATTAATTTTTGTTGAATTTTTAAGATTCCAGTTCGATATGAATTTCCACGAAAACGGAAACGAACGTAAATCGCCAAGAATGCGGGACAGAGGGTCGAACGGAGCACGCGAGAACGTGTCCCCGGGTCGTTTCGAGAGGTGGAAAACAATGAGATTTAGATCGAAAGGCAGGTCGCGAAATATCTGGTGCTGCTGTGAAATGCTGCGGCGTCTCGCGCGTAAATAGTTTTCCAGAAACGTATACACCGAAAGTTCCAAGCGTCGAGGCTCGGACCGGCGAGTTCCCTCTTTCCACCCCTAACAACTATTTGCTTTACCAGGTGACCTTAATCTAGAAAATGGTCTCCGAGAGGTGTTCCCGTGAATTCGAGCAAAGGGAAACGCGGACAAACGACTGGAGAGCAGACGAATGGCCAACATCTTGAACGATGAAAATTACGAACAAACAATTCCGCGCATTCGCAAAACGCTGCCCTCGAAAAGCAACCAAGTGACTTTCAATTATTCCCACGGTCGATGATAAAGAGTCAGCGTTCGTCGAGAGTCTCCAAATGTTTTTCGTAGGAGGATCCACACGGGTCTCTGAACGCAACAGGGAGTCGTACGGCCGTTATTCACGGGAACTTGGCCCGAGATTCGTCCTTTCGGCTTACATAATTTGGAAACAGGACTAACTGGGTCGTCATCCAACAGGTCCTCGATCCTCGCGAGCGTTCAACGACGCCAGAACGGCTAAACGACCAATGTTCGAGCAACGAGAACGACGAGGCGGCTCGACGGTACGGGAATAACCGTCCGGGGGAAAAGTCGGTCAACGACTTAACCAGATTTGCCCGGGAAAACTTGGCGAAAATTGACGAAGGACGCGAGAAACGCCGGGTACCCGGTCTCTGGCGGGTCGTCGTTGTCGCCTCACGGGACAAAACATCTTCCAACGATGGTTTCTTACCTCCTTGTCGGGAGCCGAAGGCACCGGTGCTTCCAGCGATGATTAGAAGCAGCAGCGGGCTTAATAAAGCTCTCGAGGAAGGCAGCATCTTTCCTGTACTCCTACCGGCGCCTGCGCGACACAGGGTCCTTTAACCGGCTTCCCTCATCACAGCCCTTCTGCGAAAGAAAAGAAAATTCGATCAAATACCCGTAGACTCTCTTTCATCGACGAAACAACTGGAAATCAAAAGCGAAAAATAAATACTGTTTTCCGGTAATAGCAGACCCAGAAAATAATGCACACGCGATAGAGAAATCTAATCAAAAACTTCATTTGTGAGTGTACGGGTGAAGTAATTTTATTATAGGTCAGATTGGAATTGGAGTTCCGGGGCAATTGGTAGCTTCAAAAATGTACCCGAAGGGAACGATTTTAATTTCCCCGTACTGTCATTGATTATAACAGAGAGCATTGTTGTTTCTCGAAATTTCGTACCGACCTCCCAGCATCTCTGTTTCGAGATACTTTTTAGTGATTTTAATCGTTCCCCCGCGTTAATGGGCCGTCGATTATCGTCGTTTCGATCCTAACGAGGGTATGTTATCGAAACAAATTTCGATAGATTACGGGGGAGCGGAACGGGAGCAAAGCGACTGTTAACCCTTTGTTCCGTCCGTCGATTGCAATTATCTCGGCTGCAAGGCGATTACCCGTGTAATTCTTTTTCAGCTGGCAATATCCTACGGGACGAGTCCGTTCTTTCCTTTTGCCTTTCGCGCCAATCCACCGGGTTAATGAGCCCGGAACGTTTAATCCGGCGTTCGTTAAGGTGTCAAAATTTGTTGCCTCGCGCGAGCGAATAAAGCGTCCCGCTTTTTTCCCTGCCGCGTTCCAAAGGATCCTCACCGACGAACAGAGCCAGAACCGGTCTATTATTCTTCGTCCACGACGTTTAGTGTTCCCCGTGACCATAAATGCAACGATTTCTTCCGCCACGAACCCGTGCCTCGAGTTAGAACGCGCTTAGAGCAATTTCGTAACAAGTGATCGAGGCGGTCGAAATGGCAACGAAATTAATCGTTTCAAGTTAAATATTGATTTAGAATTATTCATATCGGAATGCAAAATAATACTTGGGAACCGTTTCGAATTCATACATACAACACGTCCGAGCATTAATCGATTGTAAAATTATCCGGATATTTGTTGGCCGTTTATTATATCGGGGCGACGAATAATTGTCCTTGCAGTTCCTCCGGCGTTATTGTCGCGCGAATGAAAATGTAATAAAATTCTGACTCGATCAACGACCGCAATCGTTTGTTTCGCGTAATAAACGTCGACCCCGTAAATTACGCGCGCGTCGCGGTGAAATTTCAATGGCAAATAATTTCCAAACCGGCGCGGAATCGCGTGCCCCGAAAACCTGAACGCGGATTCCGTAGAAGCCGCGGATTTTTCAGCCCCCCTCTGGTTCGACGCGTTCGTGACAAACCCCCGACCGCCCTCGATCTTACCCGGGGATTGGATATTTTTAACCCGTCATTAGGGGTCATTAAGCTCGAGCGACGGGGTGGAACGTCGACAGTGACCCTCCCCGACCTCGTCGTTGGTAAAATTAAAATGTCTAATTTAGCGCGTCCCGCGGAACTGTGCCCACTTTCTACCGCACCAGTGCGTTTCACGGTTCGATATTAAAAACTGAAACAATAATTCAAGTAACTAAAATAACTCTATGATTTCTCAAGCATTTAATTTTAATTTCCTGGTGGTCCGTAGTCATAATCTTAAATTAATAACTGGAGAGCGATCTTCGCGATCCAACCCCAACACAAGTGACACCAACTGATAATACTTAACCCCTTAACGCTCATATTTTTCATATTAAAAATCCGGTTTTTGTTAATTACAATGTTGTATCTAACGTATAATTTGAAGGAAAGCAAATATTATCATCCCTTAAACCGTTGGATCAAACAAATATCGTTTTTCAAAGCAGTCAGACTCTAGCATGAACGTTAAGGGGTTCACTGAAAATACTGTTAGAACGAATTAAACGAATCTTCTGTTTCACGTGTAAATTATTAATGAAAGAGAAAAACAATTCGTGAGGGATTAATAGCGTGTCTCCAGTGATTATCTTGTTTTCTCTCGATGTTAATGGAATCTCGACTTACAATGTCTACGCGCGAAGAACGTTTTGCCCTGGCAATTTCGCGAGGCACTCGTCAACCGGGGGACGACAAGCACTCGAGAGGATAGGGGTCGTCGCGGGTCCGTCAACGGCCGTGTCCAGGACAGATCAAGCGTCTCCGCTCCCGCGGCGTTTGCCCGAACTTATTTATTTTTCCGCGACGGAACGTGGCCGGGGAGCGTAGCGAGACACCGTGGAAAGAAGAAAGAGGAGAAGAGAGCCCCGTTGGCCCCGAGGGCGCGTTGGGTTTCCATTATGCTAAACCGCAAATGGAGTCCTGCGATCGAGTGTCTCTCTGCGCCATCCCCCCCGAAGGCGCACAAAGCCGTTGGAATAAGGCTCCTAAGGTGTAATGTTACCGAGAAATTAAATTCTCTCGTTCTCCGCAGACCGACCTAGCCTTCGTCTCGCCACCCCCTACGATTCCCCATCCCCCATCTGGCTACAGGCCGCTCCAACGACCACCTAAAGCAGAAGATCTCTTTCCCCTCCTGGCAATTATCCTATCATCGAACAAAACTAGATGCAGTTCAGAGAATGTTTATTTGCCTCTCGCTTCAGAGTTCTAAACTAAAGCTTTCTAACAATAGAAAAATGTGCCCCTTGGATTGGATTTCCGTTGAATCGAGATCCAAGCGAGAGGAACGGGCGAAGATTGGCTCACGAATGAATCCGAAGCGTCGATCGGTTATTCGGGAATAAAATTCGCCCGACCGTGCACGTAGCTTTATTGAAAGTCCTGTATCCGCGCAGCTACTCCGCCGAAAATTTTTCTTCCACAAACGAACCCGCGCCCCGGCGTGTCCCGCTATCTGCACACGTACGCGAACAAAAGGATTCGCCCGACATTCGAGCTTTTTGCCCAGGGAGCACGTCCCCGGCGATGATTTTCTCAGGTTTTTCCCGCGAACCGGAGTCCCGTGGATCGTCACGGTGAATTACGCCGAGGAGCTCGCGGTGAATTTTGATCGCAGCCTCCTGGAGCTATCTCGCCGCGACCAACTTCGCACCGACGCGTACCGTTTCGATCGACCGACAAAAATTCCGAGCGTGACGCTCGCAAATTTTCTTCGCCTCGAAATGTTAGTACGCGAAACGTGCTTTGTAACATCCTGACGCTAACTTGTACCGTGGATGCCGATTTTCTATCAAAATCGAGTAAATTTGAAAGGATACTCGAGCATCGAAGAATGTTTTTTTCTGTTTTAATATTTAAAAATTGGATTGCGAGTGTCTGGGAGTGACAAACGGTTTTCTGGATCATCGAGACCGTTCCTCGACGACCTCTGTGTTCCTCGCGAGATTGGATATCAGGGTTCGAAGGAGTTTCGGGCCAGCAACCTGTCGAGTAAACCCGGCCACATTTCAGCCGGGGATTTCCCACGTCAAATTTCTCGCGGACTTTCAGAAACGTTCGAATCGTGATCGCCGGACGCGAACTTAAAGGAGCAATCTAATAATTGCGAAAAATCGAAGAACGACGCTCGAACAAAGAGAATCCTCGAATAACTTTCGACGTACGCTGAACTCTCGTTACTGTCCATCGTATTTCGAGGCCTTTTTTTCCTCGATCTTTCCGCCGGACGAACGAACGGCGAAAATTAAGGCACGCCTTTCATCGCGATACTGCGAACGCGGCACGAACGAGATTAGAGACGGTTTGGGGGGCGTCCCTCGTCTTTCGAATTAGCGCGAAACTCGTCAAGCTCGTATCTGGGGAGGGAGGGCCAGAAAAAGTCGCCAAGCTAAACAGAAACGTCGATTCTCATGGTTTCGTGTTAGGTAGAAGGTGCAGGTGTGAGTTCCTCGATATAGGATTCGAAAATTCGAGCTCTTGTCGTTGGAAGTCATTTTAACATTATCTGTGGTCTTAATAAAGAAGACCACCTATCGTTTTTAACGAGAGTAACATTTTTTTAACAAGAATTTCGGAGGCCAGATCGCGTGAGGTCGGTATTTATCAACGAGAAATCGTCGTAGCGAAATCCCGCAGTGCGGCTAACGCGGACAGAAGCGAAAAGTAGAAAGGAAAACACGTCGCCGTGGGTAAAAAGAAGTGGTCGCGGAGAAAGGATAACGAGAATGAGGAATGCCCGGCCGCAAACAATGGAATTCTACTCGGTGAAACATTTCCGCCGTGTCGCTGCTCGGTGATCCCGTCAAATTACACGGCGTTGCTGCCATGCTCGGCCACCGTGTTCCCCAGTCATATTTCGTAATATCGCGGGATTCTCGAGAAGGGGCCGGCCGGGACACGGTGGCCCGGTAAATCGTTTTCGAATGGAAAGGAAAACTTGTTACACGGCGATGGAAGGGGCTGGGAAATGGAAGATGTCGCGGATCCACCGTGGCCCCCGAAGTGAAATGTAACAGTCTGTGAGAAAGTGGGAAATAGTGAGCGAACCGTGCACCGGTGGACGCGTTGAAAAATCGCGAGTTACGTACGGCGAGGAGCACCTCGTGGAAAACGTAGGAAAGGTCGATGGATGGAGGACTGCAATTTGTAAAAGAGATGGGCTCTGGACTCGCGAAATTGGGGCTGGAGGAAGCTAAGAGTTATCAAGTTATCGCATTCTATTTATTTAATTCGTCATTTTCGAGCGTAAATAAATAATATGATATAAGAAGACATCGTAGGAGTGTAAAGGGACCGAGATGATGAAATTTGAGATTTGCAAGTGTTCCGATCGGGAGAGCGGCGATCTATTTCGTCGAGACGAGGGCGGAAAGATGAGTCGGGAAGACGGGAGGCAGAAAACCTGGCGCAAGAAAGGGCTGCTTGGAAGAGGAACTCTCGGCGCGACGAACAATGCGACTGCGCTTTGCGGCAGCGGTGAACATTTCCGCGGATTCACGGCTAAGGAACACGCGTCGAAGCGACTTCTTTTGTCCCTGCTGGCGAACGTACAGCT